TAATAAACCCAGGATCACTATATATTGTACAATTTATAGGCTAGTTGCTTGTTTTGTGACCAAAATGAAACTACTGTCAAACACAAAACGTAACTGTTATCAATCACACTACTTTGCAAATATGTCGGTGTACAACAGCATGTTACAGCAAAATAAAAACTACTCCTTACATCAGGCGAATGACCATCCCAGAGTATAGCTGCCCAAATGCTTAATGATAGTACTTCAAAAACCCCTTTCATCACTTCTTGAAACACTGCCTGTTACAACGACATCAACTACTTAGAACTATATATATGTTTACAAGTCAAAATGAATAGGCCCTATCATACAAAGGTAAAACTGATAAGGCACAGATTCTGCAGAGCATCAATTTGTACATGGTAGTAACTTGATAGCTTGTACAATACCTTCCCAAGATGGCGGACCGCTAGACACGTCACAGGCGCAACCGCGCGCCATCTAGGATTAGATATCTTTGCGTTGAAAGGATTAAAATCATTTTGACAGACAAAATATAATCTGGAAATGAAATCATACTAAAAGTCTTAAATTATTCAAATACATGAAACCAACTGATATGTTAATGGTTTGAAACGCATATAACAAATATCTCGTTGAAAAAAAATATTTTTAACCATTCAAGATTAGAGCATTTTGTTATCCAATGTACCTGACTTCCTGTTTAACCTTCGAGAACTTTCGTCACTTTCCGTGAACGAGAAAAACGTCGTCTCTTACACGGAAGCGGCCGAAAGATTCCGATTAGGTGTAAAACCTGTCACGTCGCCTAACTTCATTAAAACTGCAATATATGGATGTTCCTTTTAATAACTGTTTGAATTTAATTATGATCAAGTATTCGAATGTTCAGAAAATTTTCAGCAAACACTCAAACGGCACAATGATAACACATATATAACTATTAGTGGTGAGGTTTTTTTCCAGGAAAAAGGCAGTATATGTAATATTGGTGACTTTAATGAGAATTTTTCTTGACAAATTCGTTTGAAAATATTTATATTAATATTGATTTTCTAAATTACAATGTATAACAGAATAGTCACAAGTGTTCCAATTTATGATTTGTTAATCAACAGAACTAAAAACTCCCAATAGAGAAAAGGAAAATGTGGGTGAGAACATTCTGATTTTAATAAGGAAAACTGGTTCAACATATAACCACCGAATTTACAAATCTGACAAAAACTATATTGTCTTTCACCATATTTTGACTACAAACTTATTTCTTTTTTAAAGTGAAGATGATAGATAGTCCTCTCTGTAACTCTGAAAGGGAAGCTCTTGTACATTTATTTTGAAGTTTTTTATCAATCTTGATAGTCTAGATATGTTGTCAAAGACTTTATTCATACATTTTCTGTTACCATGGAAACAGATGGCCCTCATCACAAATTTATGTTTTTTCTGATCCAGTGCTCTGAAACTATTCAAGAAAGTTGCTTAAAATTTTCACACTTATTAAGCTAGTAGTATCTTTTGCTATGGAGAAGTTCACCATTTAAATACTTTTTTTCTGTTACCTTGGAAGGACAGATAATTCTATGTATATATGAAGGTTCCAGGACTGACGTGGTTATCTCCCTTGATTGACTAGATCATACTGCTTACACTATATACACCAGCTTTTCTTAGCAATAGGAGCATTGTGATATTCTTCCTTAAATTCGGTTTTTGTTATGTAACTACAAATAAACCTATATTTTAGATTATATAATGGGATCTAGTTTAATTGATTTTGTTTAAGCAACCTAACCTAGTTTAATTAATTTTGAATAGACGTGGTTAGCAACTGTCTTTAATGAAAACTGAAAATATTTTTTAAGCAAAGAGCAATTTCATATACCCTCCCAACCTATTTATATTTGCCTGATCAAGCACATTTTGAAAGGCAATGAAATATTGAAGAAAGGAATAAGGTACCATGTAAAAGTATTACATAAATTTGGAGGGTGGGGGAGCAAAGTTAAAATGGTATTGGAACGGAATACAAATACACGCCTAATATATTTGTTACAGATGTATGAGATGTGTAAAACGTATTTCTTTCCTTTTTCAAATGATAAATATGGTCAGTTACTGCAATAAATTTACTTCTAGACCAACACGTACCGTGTCATCTGATTATATTTCTCACTTTTTGTCGTGACTCTAAGTCCTTGATTTCGAGTCCTGTCGATATAAAAAATTAAATTAACCTGGCTCCTTTAAAACGGCAAGGCAAATAAAAACACTAGTAGACGTGGGCCTATCTCCAACATTTAAAATTGCACAACTTGATGAAAGGTCAAGATATCGTTGGATATTTCTTTTTATATACATCGGTATGTGAAATGCAATGACGAAAACTCAAGCAGTTCTAACTTATGCGTAATGCTTTAGTTTTTTCGTATTAAAAGAAAACCTAAATTTCAGTGGGATTTCATTTACTTTTAAAATGAAAATGAACTTATATCGAGCCCGTAAAATACTTCCTTGTTGTATTCACGGCATAGAAACGCTTGACAAACAGTGGAGTGGCATTGTCAGTTATCAAACTTGTAGTGCTAACCGTACCCAGACTCACCTTATTCCGACGCATGCTATTCGTTGGTGTCCGGCCTGCAATGCCAACATACTTTTAACAACGTTTTATTTTACTTTTAATAGTTTTGAGATTTCTGTTTAAAAATATACGATTCTCCACTCGCTGGTTTTGGAAGTTTAAAATAAAAATGTTGTGAATGGGTCTAGAAATATATGGATCTCGATCGGTCGTGGGTACATAGACAAGTTTTCACCCTACACTGTAAAGCGCAATATCAACCAAGATGTTCAGGTAACAAACCATACAAGATGTCGGACAACGAGGTACCGATGTCAAAACTGTACAGGTAAGTTTGATAAACAAAATTATGTCATAATTAGTATTATCGATATATCAGCAGAGAGCTCTCCTGTTAAGCAAAATCTAGCCTCCTTTCTCATGATCTGTAAAATTCCCAAGTAACATTCGTGTGTTCGACTGTATGAGTCACCTGTGATTCACTTTCGTTTTCAGGCAGATCTAGAATTTACAATGTAGACATGCTCGATACTGATCAGGAACTGCGGTTGAATTATGATGAAATATTCTTCAGTTGGGTGCAGAATTAAGCTTTTTTTTCGTTAAAACGTTATCTACGCCATTCTAATTGTATTTCTTTATAAAATGTTAACTTGAAAATAAATTAGAAGCTTTATTCACTCTGTCAGTACTGAGTGAAGTTGCACAGGAACTCAAAATATTTATCCTAACGCCATCATAATTCAAGAACAAAATGAAAACAAAAGCACATTGGTATAATAATCTACCCCGAAAGAACTGCAACAAAGTCACAACAAAACTTTCCAATTTAAAACTATAATATTTGCTGAAAACTATTGAAAATATTTTGCTGTTGAGATTCAAACATTCTTAAAATTACCGGAATGTCCTGTAAACTGGAATAAGCAAGTTTGGCGATTAGAGGTGTGTCTGCCTAATATTTGTAAAGCTTGTAAAGTTAATACCCATAGTAAGCTAGATACAAGGTGGTTTTTATGATCATTTTAACTACTAGTGAATGAGTGTAATTTGAGTAACAGATATATAGAATACTGTCAGTTCAGCCTGAATTATTCTGATGTTCCCGCAACTTCTTATACATCTGGTGTTGATGAATGTCAAGACTCCAGCCTCTAAAAACTGATTGAAATAATAATGATACACAATTGTATGTGAACTACTCCAACAATGTTAGAGGTTTTACACAGCAAGAGATTATGACAGGTCACAGTTGGCGCAATAATGTCAGATAATGAAATGGCTGACCTGCGGCCTCTTATGTTACAGGAGTATATCAGACCTTAACCCAGGATTAGCTTTAAAGCATTAATGGACATAAACCATCATTTTCACGTAAATATTTCGGACTGCTGCCAACTCAATTTCATTCATTTTGACAATTAATACAATTTAAAAAATCAAATATTTACAATTAAGATATTATCTGAAAAGGAAATTAGAAAGGCTATTATTACAGTCATGTACCAGGTAAATAGTCATCAGAACTATTACCTGAAGTGAACTATTTAACATGTGTTCAGGTTTTTGCGAAGTTACTTAATTCATGCATTCTGATTGGACATGGTGTTTGTCACGTTCCTTCAGAGCACCTATATCTCTGTCGCATACAATGCCATAAAGTCTGTCAGCATTTCTGATACCTAGATGAAGCAGACTTAATTTGTGTACAAAATAACAGGCTTGAACCGTGATTCACATTTTGCCCGCCCAATACAAAGTACAAGTCTACAGCAAGTAAAATGGTAACACCTCCTGATTTTTCTAATGATGAATTTTATGAAATTCTTCAATTCTTCAATTTTCATGTTTTGTTTATCCTTGTTTACTAATTGGTTCTACAGAACTATGCTTGTTCGATCTTTGAACATTTTGAAAATATTAATTGATTGTGTTATCACTTCTAAGAAATTGAGGATGATTTTAGAGAAATGTGATATATCAATGGTATATATGTATTCAACTCCTTGATGGTACCTTCCATGTTATATTTGATGTTGAAAAAGTTCATGTTCGGTGCATGAACAACTCTCTTATCATAGTTATAGGAGGCTGAGGTGATCATGATGTATATTTCGATTATTACAGTGTTTCCTTGACAACAACATTAAGAAATTTAGGGTAGAAAGACAACTTTTATATTTATTATATGTTAAATATATATAATAGGAGGATGTCGTCTTTGAGGAAACTTTATTAAAAAGGTAGAGGTAGACACAAAAATTAGACTGGTAAGGTAAAAGGAAATATTTTTTATTTTACCTTAAACAACTTAATATTGCATGTAAACACTCATAGTGTAATGAGTAAGCTTAAAGCTAGGGTTTTTTTTTTGTTTCATTAAATTTTCTCATATTAAAGGCTGGTGTTTGCTGGAGGCTAGAACTACTCTATCATGGATACCGTGGTCAGTTTGATATGGCTGTTCTGCCTACTTATGTATCTGTTACCAAGTCAAGGTAAGTTAATTATCTTACACCATTTACAGATATAGAAGGGTTTTTGTATATACACATTATCTGTCTCTAAAGATTTTGTAAATATCAATTACCTGTCCACAAAGTCACCTGTATGTTCCATATACCTGTCTATAACAACCACCTGTATTTTTTAATCATATGTGTATAAAGATAACATGTAAGATCACATGTGTATACCAAATACCTGTCTAAATTGACCACCTGCATATATATCAATTACCTTTCAATAATGACTACCTGTCCTGTTTATACCATAAACCTAATTATAATGGACACTTGTGTATATACCAATAACCTCTCTATAATGGATACATGTGTATGTACCAATTACCTCTCTATAATGGCCACTTGTGTATATACCAATTACCTTTCTATAATGGACACATTTGTATGTACCAATTACCTCTCTATAATGGCCACTTGTGTATATACTAATAGCCTCTCTATAATGGCCACTTGTGTATATACCAATAACCTCCTGTAAAGGCCACTTGTGTATATACCAATTACCTCTCTATAATGGACACTTGGGTATATACTAATAACCTCTCTATAATGGACACTTGTGTATATACCAATTACCTCTCTATAATGGTCACATGTGTATATACTCATAACCTCTCTATAATTGACACTTTTGTATATACCAATAACCTCTCTATAATGGACACTTGTGTATATACCAATTACCTCTCTATAATGGACACTTGTGTATGTACCAATTACGTCTCTATAATGGCCACTTGTGTATATACCAATTTCATCTCTATAATGGACACTTTTGTATATACTAATAACCTCTCTGTAAAGGCCACTTGTGTATATACCAATTACCTCTGTATAATGGACATGTGTGTATACCAATTACCTCTCTATAATGGCCACTTGTGTATATACCAATTACCTCTCTGTAAAGGCCACTTGTATATACCAATAACCTCTCTATAATGGACACTTTTGTATATACCAATTACCTCTCTATAATGGCCACTTGTGTATATACCAATAACCTCTCTATAATGACCACCATTGTATATACCATTTACCTGTTTATATTGATTGCCTGTCTATAAAGATTACAATTTTCAGCCTTAAAACCACCTGTTTATACCAATTACCTGCCTATAAATGTGTTAAAAGTCTCAGTGTTTATACCTCTATATAAAGCCCATCTGTATGTAAGATCTCCTGTATTCGATTGAGAGATGTACATGAGTAGCTTAACTTGAAATGATTTTTGTGCCTATCGCCAGGCCCGGACTTAAACTTGGTATAAATCTATCTTAATATATCACATGTGTGGGGAAACCTACAATGTTTCACATGTTGGTTTGGTGACGGAGTTTGGTAACCCCCACACATACTTTTCTTCAGTGATTATAATAGTCTTACAAATTTCAATGTATTTGTTTTCCCTATCTTTTTATAAGAATAATGCCTTGCTGTATTTTTCATGTGTATCGTCATTATGTCTTTGTATTAATGTGTTTGTAAAATGCATTAAAAGTCACTATACAATGACCATCCTCTTTCCCATCATTTTTTTGGTTGTTTATGTGACAAGATAGAGGATGCATAGAGGATATTTTAAAAAATCTGGTTTGATTTTGAATTATATAAAGAGAAATTAGCTTTTAATAGAAATGTTCCAATATGTGATTATAAGATTTAAGATCTTATTTGTGAAGAAACCTCATGAAAATCCATTGAATTATTAGGCCATCTGTCAATAAAGGTCACTTCAGGTTCCGTATGTAATGCAATTCAGCCACCTGTGTATAAAGGCCTCCTGCTCCTATAAGTGGCCTCTATAGACAGGTTTGATTGTATATGATATTTTGACTTCTAATATGGTTTCAGCGGAACAGCCAGACATTTCAATACATCTATGTAAGATACCTTTGTTGAGATCAAGCTGGTCGCTGTGTTGTGCAACAAAAGACATTCACTCAGCAACTGTCACATTCTTCCACCAATCACCACAGAGTTCAGAGTTCACAGATGTAGCTGTTGTTAAACACAGTTGTGATAGAAATCCCAATGGCTACAATGTGACCTGTATTTCCAAGGCCAATGGTCATCGTGACCTTATTCTAACCATTCTCAACCCGGACTTGGAACAGGACATTGGAAGGTGGGGATGTAGATATTACGGGAAAACGTCATCCCTGGTGCTCCATGAGACTCAAGGTAAGTTCTGAATGTATAGTACTTTATCACATGATGTTACTTTGTTATTCACTGAGCCACACATGTAATATAGCTTATTGTAATGCCACTTTAAAAAAATTGTATGTCGTCACACATTCACATATGGCATTGTGACGTAACATATGGAGACCATCAATGTAGAATGGACATGGTTTCATGTTTGATGTAGAAATGTCCATTCTTTATAATATTTGCTTGAAAAGTTGAACATGTAAAAAATCAGAAGATTGTTACCTTTTTGATGTGTGAGTTATGAAACTTATCACAAACATTTTAGTTTAGCTTAACATAGGCTCACAAAATGAAAAATATTTATGGACTTCATAAATTCACATATCAAATGAAAACTGCCACAAGACCCTATATCAATCAGTGGCGATGTACTGTGTTGTTTGGTGATGATATCAGTAGATGTGATGTTTTTACCTGATAACCTATAGTCACCTTGATTGTTGGTACAGGAAGATAAAATTGTATTATCTAAAATTAGTAACGGGGATTACATAATCTAAAAGCTGATGCGAAAAGCAGCCAATATATGATAGTTCTGAGCACTGACATTGGTCGATGAGAAGATACCCCGGCCAACATAAGATAGTTCTGAACATTGTCGTTCGTCGATGAGAAGATACCCTGGCCAACATGATAGTTCTGAGCATTGACGTTCGTCGATGAGAAGATACCCCGGCCAACATATGATAGTTCTGAGCACTGACGTTGGTCGATGAGAAGATACCCCGGCCAACATATGATAGTTCTGAACACTGTCGTTCGTCGATGAGAAGATACCCCGGCCAACATATGATAGTTCTGAACACTGACGTTCGTCGATGAGAAGATACCCCGGCCAACATATGATAGTTCTGAGCACTGACGTTGGTCGATGAGAAGATACCCCGGCCAACATATGATAGTTCTGAGCACTGACGTTCGTCGATGAGAAGATACCCCGGCCAACATATGATAGTTCTAAACACTGACGTTCGTTGATGAGAAGATACCCCGGCCGACATATGATAGTTCTGAGCACTGACATTGGTCGATGAGAAGATACCCCGGCCAACATATGATAGTTATGAATACATATAAATATGAATTTTAAAGCATTTTAAGCACATCAATTTTGTATTGCTCAATATAAAAAAAGAGAAAAATAAGGTCTATACTATCAGTGCAAAGATCTCCTTTCCCACTTTTCGAACGATCCTTTTCAAACTTTTCAAACGTATCTTGAATGAATTTGTATTTTTGCATAATGGTATGTTTTCATACAACTGTATATGGATGAGGTACTGCCCTTGGTTTCATGTTATTTTTGCCTGGAGATCTTCAATAACAGTTTTCAGCAGACTTCTTTCAAACTCAGTAGGCTTAATTATTATGACATTAAGTTTTTCTGAATGGCAGTTTGATAAGGCTGTATTAGGAGGAGTTATTGCCACTTGTTTATCTTGTCTAGAGATTTTTACGTTTTCAATCAGTTTTTTTCAAATTTGGTAGGTTTAATCACTTGACATGAAATTGTTTTTATCTGTCAGCTTTTTACTAAAATTTATTGCTAGTCGTGAGCAAGTGCACAGATTTTCAGCAACTATGGTCAGAATGATCCTTAGAGAAAGGGAGCAAGTTTGTATAAGTATTGGTTCTCGGCCCTCAGGGTGGAGCCCTAATAGTAAAAATTCTCACGTCAATTTTGTATGAATGGTGGGTCTCTGCCCCCTGAGGCAAGAGGGACGGGGCTCAAGAGGTGAAATTCTTTAAAACCCTACTCCTGCTGTAGGAATGATTGAATTTTGCCCAATTTGGTCTGAAGTATTCTTGAGTGAAGGAAAATCAGTTCTGTATAAACAGCAGATCCCGGCTGTCTTGGTAGGGAAGGGTGTGGCCAAGTTGGGGAAAAGTAAACTCTTAAAATTCTTCGGTTTGACCACAAGGTCAGGACCAGATAGGGAAATTATTTCAGAAATTATTCATATTTTGATTCTTTGTTTAATGGCTGAATAGCTGAATTTAGCCAGGTGAGTGATGTAGTTTCCTTTCTCTTTTTCAGTTTTGCTCCAAGATGGAGGAGTCGTGTTGGCAAACAAATCCGAAAATGCACGACTGGATTTTCTGATACCAGAATTTAATACAGAACAAAACATTACTATATATAACCCAGAGGGAATTAAAATAGCAGCAATTACATCAGGGATGATTAACACAAACATTAACAAAATCAACTTGTCATTTGATGCACAGAATAGGATTGTCTCCCTTGTGTTACCAAACATAACTTTGTCAGAAAACGGGACTTATGTATGTGAAGTTAAATCCTCATTGAACAGATACGGAATCACTCTTGTGATACTTGGTAAGTAGGTCATCACTCTTGTAATACTTGTAAGTAGGTCACTGCTCTTGTAATACTTGGTAAGTAGGTCACTGCTCTTGTGATGCTTGGTAAGTAGGTCAGAGCTCTTGTAATACTTGGTAAGTAGGTCACCACTATTGTAATACTTGGTAAGTAGGTCAGAGCTCTTGTAATACTTGGTAAGTAGGTCACTGCTCTTGTAATACTTGGTAAGTAGGTCACCACTATCGTAATACTTGGTAAGTAGGTCAGAGCTCTTGTAATACTTGGTAAGTAGGTCACTGCTCTGTTAAAAATGAATCGAGAGGAATTTTCTCAAACATTTTCAACGTATTTCTGCAAAAGTTTTCTTTAAGAAAGCATCCCCAAAGCCTCAGTCAATTACATTAATCTAAAAATTGATCCTTAACTCTGCTATTGTTTCCCATGTGGAAAAAAATAGGTTTGTGATAATACTGAAGCAAAATGGTGTGTACAGTTTAGGGAATTATTCATTTTTTTTTCACTTTTCCTTGCTTTTTTTATTTTTTTTGTTAAAGATGTAATATTTGATGTTAATTATATAATTCATGCTTTCTTGTTTTCATTTACAGAAAAATTGGACAAACCAACCATAACACCATCAGATGTTACCTATGAATCCACATTGAAAAAGGTCACATTTGGCACTCTGACATGTACTGCAGAGAGGAAGTCTGTTGGTCCCTATTATTACACCCCTCAGATCAATATTCACTGGATTTATCCTCGTCAGGATGTTGGGTACAACATATCAATCAATGGAAGTGACCTGACCATCACTGGGGTCAGTTGTATTAGCAATAGGTCACAACCTATCTTCTGTGAGGCGAGAGAGAAGGGCGGCCCCTTATCTGATCGATCACACTTCTATCCACACAGTCTATGTAAGTCTCCAGCGTCAAAATAGAATATTTATCCTTCAATAAGCGGCAAAGGGGCGATTCCTTTACCTAAGACTGGTTGGTTGAGTTGTTACTGACCGGGGAATCAAAATAAACCCCCCTGACCCAAAAGTCATTTTTATGTTTTTATCCTACAGTGTGCTGATTTTAACCCATTACCTGACTGAGTATGATTATTCAAGGAGAAAACAGCCATCTGCATTCTTTGTTTTGGTTCTAACAGGTACATGGAACCAAGGCACAACAGTGTCTCCAGTGATCATTCAGGGTGGAGATAAAAACGACAGTGACCGCTCTCAGCTCATTGCTGTTGGTGTCATAGGATGTGAGTTGTTTTTTTGTATTTTTGACTACATCTATACCACAGGAACTAGAGAAAGTGTAGATATGTACAGTAGTGATTAAAGAATGTATCTTAATGCAATGTCTTCAAAGAATATTTCTTAAATTGTAAATCATGAGTGGCTGTGTATTGTTGCCATTAACACAGGAAAGACAGTATAATGAGTAATTTTTACTGCAATATGTTCTGTGCTTTTAATAATGATAAAATTTCCTGGTTATTTCTACTACAAAATGTTCTGTGCTTTTAATATGATAAAATCTCATGCAGAATTTTTACTGCAAAATGTTCTTTACTTTTAATGTTAATAAAATTTCCCTACGTCACTTTTTTACTGCAAAATGTTTTGTGCTTTTAATGATAATAAAATCTCCTTCTTAATTTTTACTGCAAAATGTTTTGTGCTTTTAATGATAATAAAATCTCCTACGTAATTTTTTACTGCGAAATGTTCTGTGCTTTTAATAGTTGTCTAAATCAGGAATTTAAGAATACAGGCTCAAATCTTATTCTAGATAACCTCACACAGTCACAACCTGGTGTTACCAAACCACACATAGATTTTCCTTTGATTTTTGAATGTTGATATCAGCCAATGTATTTTCAAATATGTGCAATCACTAATTTTTTTTTTTAAAGCAGCACCTATAAGTGGCTGGTTCAAATTGTCCTTTGTGTTCTCATCACTATTTCTCAGGGACTTCTGGATAAATCTATCTGTCTCAAATTTTCTGTGTAGACACTGATTGGTCTATTTTGTGTTTTGAGATGACTAAGTTGTTGACAGGTTGCTATCTTGAATTGCATCATTTAAAAAATGTCTTCATTTATATTTCTAAGAAATTAAACTTAATAAAACTTTAAATATTTAATAGAATATAAGAAATAAGTTCAAGTTGGTAATTATGTCATTTGATTAAATAATTAAATTTTATTCAATTAAGTTTAAACTCTGTATTACAAAAAGACTGAATATAGTGCATTTGTTTTCTCAAATTTATGACATAAAAATCAATACCTGCTCACAAGAGAAGATAACTCTGTATTACAAAAAGACAGAATACAGTACATTTGTATATTGTACTTCATCAGCATATCTTACTAATGTCTGTATATTTTTCAGGCCTGGGGTTTGCGATCTTTGCTGTAATGTTCTTTGCTGGGTAAGCTGATATTCTTAATTATGTAACAAAACCAAGCTGACTTTTTTATCTTAGTTATCACCATTCTGAGCTTGAAGATAAAAGTGTCGAATACAAACCACCAGACCAATATATAAGACTTTAGATCCTCTAATGATAATTTATCCCTACATATCGTATTATTGGCTCAGTTTTTAAACCTTGAAACATATATTATCCCATCCTCCATCAAAAATTGTTCACAGCAATTACAAAAACAAAGTGTACAGATCATGATAGAATTCAATGCAAAGATTTTGAAATATACAGAAGTGATGTAGCACATCTTTCATTCCCTGCGTATGGATAGGGTGATCTCAACCAGAAGGGAAAGATGATGAAGTTGACGAACATGAGGCTTGTTGCATGTGTTTGTATTTGAATGTGTTTCCCAATCGAGGGTTGATATCTCTCTATCTCACCAGCAACCCAGGAGTGATTATCTATTTCTTATCCTGCTGGCCTTCTTGGTGTTTTCTTCTTGCTTTGCCTGATATGAAAGATGAATCTAAATGACGTAGGAAGTGACTTCTACATATAGAAACCCACCCTGCCTACCCCCATCTCCCTCCACCCCACCCCACATCCCCATCCCCCCCCCCCCCCCCCCCACCTCACATCACACCCCCCCCCCCCCCCCCCCACCCCCACCCCACCCCCTCGCCTTGGAGGTTGAATATAGTTTGATCTCAACCCAAGGGGAAAGATGATTAAGTTAGCAAACACGAGACTACCAAGTGTTTGCAACTTCAACACCTTTTTCCATGGGCTGAAATCACCCTATCTCACCAACTTTGCAATGAATGATTATTTTTCTCTTACCCTGTTGGCTTCATTAGGTACTCATATGTGTTTTTGCTTGATATCTTGACGTGATTGAATTGTTGACGTGACGTCAGTGAATTGGTACTGTGACATCATCGTCTCAACCCTAGGGTGAGACAAGGAAATCTTGATCCAGTGTGAATTACATGTTCAGGGTTAGAGATAAAGAAACTCTACACCTGTAAATATTGTTGATTTACCTGTCCTGTGTAAGGGAATATTTTCTTCTACACTATATGGTTATGTAAGTTGTTCTTATTGTTGCAACTTGTTGTTAAGCAGCAATATGAATGGTAATTGAACTTTGACTTAGTTAACCTACATAAAGAGATTAGAAATTACTTTACTGTGGGTGGTGAAGTTGAAAGGCATGTGGACTGTCTTTCCATGGGGAAATACAGATTTCCCTTGGTATTTTTCTTTAGCAAAAATGTTATTTTAGTGTTCAAGCGCAAGAGGAAAATATATTTTTGTGTGGAACTCTTCTAAAAATAATTCACCTTAAGGTACATGTAACATATGTCCTTAAATAGAGCAATTCTTTTTCCAGGAAGGAGAAGGTGGGGCGGTGTTTAAGCTTCTGTTTCAGGAAGATTTGTCGGTGTTGTGGACGTACAATCTGTCGCAAGTGTACCAGGTTTGGTAAGTCAGAATATTAAGAAATTGTATGAGGATAGTCCTAAGTAGCTGAAAAAACTCAATAAAACCATTAAACTGAAAATGTGATTTTCCTTGAACAGCTGGGTCTCTGGAATCGTTATCGGAAGATAGATCCTCCGACCATTTGATTGGATGAATCCTATTTTGGCCCACAAAATATCTCTTTATTTATTTGATAGGGAATGAAAACATGCAAAAAGCCTTTAGTAACTCATCAATTAACAAGCATACACAAAAATTTCAAAAACTTTTTATCAGAAAAGAATTAACCATTAAAATAATGTGATTTCCTGTTCACCTGATTTCAAAGACTGCGAAAATTCATCGCTTTCTGTAGAAAATGTATTGTTTCATACATGCTGAAAAGTCAATATCTGTCATTAACACTATATGATATCACACTCCTGTTACAAAATATGATTATGTCTGTTGATCTTTGACTTAAGAGATGTTACTTGGCTTTACCGAGTCAAATACAAAACACAAGGTCTAATTTCAACTGGGGCCATTTTATAGTTGATTGTTTGTAAACTTATTGGGATTTATGTACAAACTTACAAAATAAGAAAATAGATAAATATTCCGCGCTGAGTTACTTCCCCTTACACCCTAAATACAATATGTACATGTTTGATATAATTAGGTATCTCACTGACCAGTATAGCAATAATTTGATTTCAATTATTCTTGCATGTTTATCAAAGTTCTTTTTAAACAATAAATAAACCACTTGAGCGAAGCCATGAAAAACGCAATTCATAATTATATACATTAAATACACTAATATGAATGTAATTGGTCAAATTGTATTTTCCTTTTGGTAGTAACTATTTTATAGCAGTTTTTGATAGCTCTTGGTACAAAGTCACATTTTTCTTACTTCAGTCTGTTTCAGTTCTGTCTAGTCTGTTTGTGATCAGATGTTGTCTTTTGTGCCAGACAGATCGACAGAATTTACAAATGGTAATTGGGCTATAACTTCTCCTGATTTCAGATGACGATGAATTCTACTCCGATTACATCAGTAATATGACTCGTGACGCGGATGATCCTTATTTCACAATGTCAAGAGACAGAGGAAGTAACTGGCGTGACCTACTGAATGTGTATTCTCCTGGAAATAATACAAATGTCACCCTCCCTCCTGCCCTTAGAGAGAGCCCCAATACGGGTGAGAGATTTATATAACTGTTCTTATAAAAACTATAAACTTTATTTATTTTACAACAATTGCGAAACAAGTTATTTCAAGTTATAGTAATCACTCTTGATGGCCTGGATGTAAGCGCGTGAGGGGTCTTATTGTGGGAGGAAACCTGAATACCAGGGGAAAACCCACATGGTCGGGTAGGTGACCCTTACCTTTTCATGTCCGTTTCAGGAGTCGAACCTCGGACAGCTAGATGAAAGGTGAGTGCGTTACCACTGCGCCACCCGACCACTGTTTTTGTTTACATTTTATATTCCCCACATACATAACAGTGTATACAGTATAGTAATCACTATGTGTGACCATCCATTTCATCCTCGATACTCCAGGGGTTATGCTCACTATCACTTTCTGTACCCCTGGAACCATCCTCGATACTCCAGAGGTTATGCTCACTATCACTTTCTGTACCCCTTGAACTATCCTCGATACTCCAGGGGTTATGCTCACTATCGCTCTCTGTACCTCTGGAACCATCCTCAATACTCCAGAGGTTACAATCACTTTTGCTCTCTGTACCCCTGGAACCATCCTCAATACTCCAGGGGTTACAATCATTTTCCCTCTCTGTATCCCTGGAATCATCCTCGATACGCCAGGGGTTATGCTCACTATCACTTTCTGTACCCCTTGAACCATCCTCGATACTCCAGGGGTTATGCTCACTATCACTCTCTGTACCCCTGGAACCATCCTCGATACTCCAGGATTTATGCTCACTATCACTCTCTGCACCCCTGGAACCATCCTCGATACTCCAGAGGTTATGCTCACTATCACTTTCTGTACCCCTTGAACTATCCTCGATACTCCAGGGGTTATGCTCACTATCGCTCTCTGCACCCCTGGAACCATCCTCGATACTCCAGGGGTTACGATCACTTTTGCTCTCTGCACCCCTGGAACCATCCTCGATACTCCAGGGGTTACAATCACTTTCCCTCTCGGTACCCCTGGAACCATCCTCGATACTCCAGGGGTTACAATCACTTTGACTCTCTGTATCCCTGGAACCATCCTCGATACTCCAGGGGTTACAATCATTTTCCCTCTCTGCACCCCTGGAACCATACTCGATACGCCAGGGGTTATGCTCACTATCACTCTCTGTACCCCTGGAAGCATCCTCGATACTCCAGGGGTTATGCTCACTATCGCTCTCTGCACCCCTGGAACCATCCTCGATACTCCAGAGGTTATGCTCACTATCACTTTCTGTACCCCTTGAACTATCCTCGATACTCCAGGGGTTATGCTCACTATCGCTCTCTGTACCTCTGGAACCATCCTCAATACTCCAGGGGTTACAATCACTTTTGCTCTCTGCACCCCTGGAACCATCTTCGATACTCCAGGGGTTACAATCACTTTCCCTCTCGGTACCCCTGGAACCATCCTCGATACTACAGGGGTTACGTTCACTTTCACTCTCTGTATCCCTGGAACCATCCTTGATACTCCAGGGGTTACAATCACTTTTGCTCCCTGCACCCCTGGAACCATTCTCGATACTCCAGGGGTTATGTTCACTTTCCCTCTCGGTACCCCTGGAACCATCCTCGATACGCCAGGGGTTATGCTCACTATCACTTTCTGTACCCCTGGAACCATCTTCGATACTCCAGGGGTTATGCTCACTATCACTCTCTGTACCCCTTGAACCATCCTCGATACTCCAGGGGTTATGCTCACTATCACTCTCTGTACCTCTGGAACTGTCCTCAATACTCTAGGGGTTACAATCACTTTTGCTCTCTGCACCCCTGGAACCATCCTCGATACTCCAGGGGTTACAATCACTTTCACTCTCTGTACCCCTGGAACCATCCTCGATACTGCAGAGGTGACAATCACTTTCACTCTCTGTACCCCTGGAACCATCCTCGATACTCCATGGGTTACAATCACTTACTCTCTCCGTTCCTCTGGAACGATCCTCGATACTCCAGGGGTTACAATCACTTTCACTCTCTGTACCCCTGGAACCATCCTCGATACTCCAGGGGTTATGCTCACTATCGCTCTCTGCACCCCTGGAACCATCCTCGATACTCCAGAGGTTATGCTCACTATCACTTTCTGTACCCCTTGAACTATCCTCGATACTCCAGGGGTTATGCTCACTATCGCTCTCTGTACCTCTGGAACCATCCTCAATACTCCAGGGGTTACAATCACTTTCACTCTCTGTATCCCTGGAACCATCCTCGATACTCCAGAGGTTACAATCACTTTCCCTCTCGGTACCCCTGGAACCATCCTCGATACTCCAGGGGTTACAATCACTTTCGATACTCTTACGTACTTTCACTCCCTGTATCCCTGGAACCATCCTCGATATTCCAGGGGTTACTCTCTCTGTACCCCTTTCACTCTCTGATGGAACCATCCTTGATACTCCAGGGGTTACAATCACTTTTGCTCTCTGCACCCATGGAACCATCCTCAATACTCCAGGGTTTACAATCACTTTTGCTCTCTGTACCCCTGGAACCATCCTCGATACTCCAGGGGTTACAATCATTTTCCCTCTCTGCACCCGTGGAACCATACTCAATACGCCAGGGGTTATGCTCACTATCACTTTCTGTACCCCTGGAACCATCTTCGATACTCCAGGGGTTATGCTCACTATCGCTCTCTGCACCCCTGGAACCATCCTCGATACTCCAGAGGTTATGCTCACTATCACTTTCTGTACCCCTTGAACTATCCTCGATACTCCAGGGGTTATGCTCACTATCGCTCTCTGTACCTCTGGAACCATCCTCAATACTCCAGGGGTTACAATCACTTTCCCTCTCGGTACCCCTGGAACCATCCTCGATACTACAGGGGTTACAATCACTTTCCCTCTCGGTACCCCTGGAATCATCTTCAATCCTCCAGGGGTTACAATCACTTTTGCTCTCTGCACCCATGGAACCATCCTCAATACTCCAGGGTTTACAATCACTTTTGCTCTCTGTACCCCTGGAACCATCCTCGATACTCCAGGGGTTATGCTCACTATCACTCTCTGTACCCCTGGAACCATCTTCGATACTCCAGGGGTTATGCTCACTATCACTCTCTGTACCCCTTGAACCATCCTCGATACTCCAGGGGTTATGCTCACTATCGCTCTCTGTACCTCTGGAACCGTCCTCAATACTCTAGGGGTTACAATCACTTTTGCTCTCTACACCCCTGGAACCATCCTCAATACTCCAGGGGTTACAATCACTTTTGCTCTCTGCACCCCTGGAACCATCCTCGATACTCCAGGGGTTACAATCACTTTCATTCTCTGTGCCCCTGGAACCATCCTCGATACTACAGGGGTTACGATCACTTTCGCTCTCTACAACCCCTGGAACCATCCTCGATACTCCAGGGGTTACAATCATTTTCCCTCTCTGCATCCCTGGAACCATACTCGATACGCCAGGGGTTATGCTCACTATCGCTCTCTGTACCCCTGGAACCATCCTCGATACTCCAGGGGTTACAATCACTTTCACTCTCTGTACCCCTGGAACCATCCTCGATACTCCAGGGGTTACAATCACTTTCACTCTCTGTACCCCTGGAACCATCCTCGATACTCCAGGGGTTATGCTCACTATTACTCTCTGTACCCCTGGAACCATCCTAAATACTTCAGGGATTACAATCACTTTTGCTCTCTGCACCCCTGGAACCATCCTCGATACTCCAGGGGTTACAATCACTTTCCCTCTCTGTACCCCTGGAACCATCCTCGATACTCCAGGGGTTACATCACATTCCCTCTCTGTACCCCTGGAACCATCCTCGATACTCCAGGGGTTATGCAATCACTTCACTTGCTCTCTGCACCCCTGGAACCATCCTCGATACTCCAGGGGTTACAATCACTTTCCGCTCTCCGCACGCCGGGACCCATCCTCGATTCTCGAGGGGTTACAGTCACTTTAGCTAAGTGCACCCCTGGAACCATCCTCGATACTCCAGGGGTTATGCTCATTTCACTTTCTGTACCCCTCACTCTCTGTACCCCTGGAACCATCCTCGATACTCCAGGGGTTATGCTCACTATTGACTCTCTGTACCCCTGGAACCATCCTCGATACTCCAGGGCTTACATCACGTTCACTCTCTGTACCCCTGGAACCATCCTCGATACTCCAGGGCTTACATCACGTTCACGCTCTGTACCCCTACAACCATCCTCGATACTCCAGGGGTTACAACTCTCTTATGCTTCTTTCCTCTCTCGGTACCCCTGAAACCATCCTCGATACTACAGGGGTTACGTTCACTTTCACTCTCAGTATCCCTGGAACCATCCTCAATACTCCAGGGGTTACAATCACTTTTGCTCCCTGCACCCCTGGAACCATCCTCGATACTACAGGGGTTACAATCACTTTCCCTCTCGGTACCCCTGGAACCATCCTCGATACTACAGGGGTTACGTTCACTTTCACTCTCTGTATCCCTGGAACCATCCTCGATACTCCAGGGGTTACAATCACTTTTGCTCTCTGTACCCCTGGAACCATCCTCGATACTCCATGGGTTAAACTCACTTTCCCTCTCGGTAACCCTGGAACCATCCTCGATACTCCAGGGGTTATGTCACTTTCTGTACCCCTTCGGGGGTTATGCTCACCCCTGGAACTCTACTGGGGTTATGCAATCACTTTCTCTCCCCTGGAACCATCCTCCATCCTTGATACTCCAGGGGTTACAATCACTTTCACTCTCTGTACCCCTGGAACCATCCTCGATACTCCAGGGGTTACAATCACTTTCACTCTCTGTACCCCTGGAACCATCCTCGATACTCCAGGGGTTACAATCACTTTCCCTCTCGGTACCCCTGGAACCATCCTCGATACTCCAGGGGTTATGCTCACTATCACTCTCTGTACCCCTGGAACCATCCTCGATACTCCAGGGGTTATGCTCACTATCACTCTCTGTACCCCTGGAACCATCCTCGATACTCCAGGGGTTATGCTCACTATCACTCTCTGTACCCCTTGAACCATAATCTCGATACTCCAGGGGTTATGCTCACTATCGCTCTCTGTACCCCTGGAACCATCCTCAATACTCCAGGGGTTACAATCACTTTCGCTCTCTGTACCCCTGGAACCATCCTCGATAATCTAGGGATTATAATCACTTTTGCTCTCTGCACCCCTGGAACCATCCTCGGGGTTATACTTTCCCTCTCTGTACCCCTGGAACCAGGGGGTTACATTCACTTTCACTCTCTGTATCCCTGGAACCATCCTAGATACTCCAGGGGTTACAATCACTTTCACTCTCTGTACCCCTGGAACCATCCTCGATACTCCAGGGGTTACAATCACTTTCCCTCTCAGTACCCCTGGAACCATCCTCGATACGCCAGGGGTTATGCTCACTATCACTTTCTGTACCCCTGGAACCATCTTCGATACTCCAGGGGTTATGCTCACTATCACTCTCTGTACCCCTGGAAGCATCCTCGATACTCCAGGGGTTATGCTCACTATCACTCTCTGCACCCCTGGAACCATCCTCAATACTCCAGGGGTTACAATCACTTTTGCTCTCTGCACCCCTGGAACCATCCTCAATACTCCAGGGGTTACAATCACTTTTGCTCTCTGCACCCCTGGAACCATCCTCGATACTCCAGGGGTTACAATCACTTTCCCTCTCGGTACCCCTGGAACCATCCTCGATACTACAGGGGTTACGTTCACTTTCACTCTCTGTATCCCTGGAACCATCCTCGATACTCCAGAGGTTACAATCACTTTTGCTCTCTGCACCCCTGGAACCATCCTCGATACTCCAGGGGTTACAATCGCTTTCCCTCTCAGTACCCCTGGAACCATCCTCGATACTCCAGGGGTTACAGTCACTTTCCCTCTCGGTACCCCTGGAACCATCCTCGATACTCCAGGGGTTACAATCACTTTCCCTCTCGGTACCACTGGAACCATCCTTGATACTACAGGGGTTATGTTCAGTTTCACTCTCTGTATCCCTGGAACCATCCTCGATACTCCAGGGGTTACAATCACTTTTGCTCTCTGCACCCCTGGAACCATCCTCAATACTCCAGGGGTTACAATCACTTTTGCTCTCTGTACCCCTGGAACCATCCTCGATACTCCAGGGGTTACAATCATTTTCCCTCTCTGCACCCCTGGAACCATCCTCGATACGCCAGGGGTTATGCTCACAATCACTTTCTGTACCCCTGGAACCATCTTCGATACTCCAGAGGTTACAATCACTTTTGCTCTCTGCACCCGTGGAACCATCCTCGATACTCCAGGGGTATAAGAAAGAAGAGTCGCTATTGGCCTACTGGGATTCAGCAGTTGATGTTCCTCTTGTTTATTTGTTTACTACTTTTGGAAGAAACCTCTGTATACCACTATAAGCATCCTGCTGAAGCCTTGAAGATGAATCTAAACACACATATGAACTAATCAGGATGTCGGTTCTTCAGATTTTTTTTTTTTTTTTTTCCGGTTATACTGCTCCATAGAAAAATCTTGGAAGGATCTTTCAAAAACTATCACAAGATTATCTATATGTTATTTGATAGTGTACACTTAGCCACATATTGATTCAACAAAGCAAATAAAGGAAAAGACGAGAAAAAATCTTACTTCTTAAGAACCAATAAACATCATACATTGGTGGGCACTTCGATATCTCAGGGTTTACTTGTTTCTTCATGTAATAGCTGCACAGAGGAAAATGTTCTCATAATGTGTAAGTCCAACACTAAACCCAAAAATAAATATTTTTCTATTAGAAAAAAAAAAACCATACAGCTGCACAGAGGAAAATTTTCTGGCAATGTGTAAGTCCAACACTAAACCCAAAAATAAATATTTTTCTATTAGAAAAAAAACATACAGCTGCACAGAGGAAAATTTTCTGGCAATGTGTAAGTCCAACACTAAACCCAAAAATAAATATTTTTCTATTAGAAAAAAAAACATACAGCTGCACAGAGGAAAATTTTCTGGCAATGTGTAAGTCCAACACTAAACCCAAAAATAAATATCTTTTCTATTAGAAAAACCATGCAAGCATTCACATTATGCTCCAAATATTGTTAGGCGTCTTGCATAGGGATGCTTTGACCTCTGGTTCAGAGTCATTCAACCGTAACAAAACTAACATTTACATCTGATTTAAATTTGTCGTCTGATTTTAGATGAGAATGAGAACGAAGAAGGAGGTCCTCAGGCAGCAGCTGTAGCAGCAAGTGATGTTGTGGTGACAGGGGCGGAGGGAGTTGACCGGAGTGTGCTTATCAAGGAAGTCGAACATGGTGAGTGTATGAATCTCTTAAAGTGGTAGTGACAGGGGCGGAGGGAGTTGACCGGAGTGTGCTTATCAAAGAAGTCGATTATGGTGAGTGTATGAATCTCTTAAAGTGGTAGTGACAGGGGCGGAGAGAGTTGACCGGAGTGTGCTTATCAAGGAAGTCGAACATGGTGAGTGTATGAATCTCTTAAAGTGGTAGTGACAGGGGCGGAGAGAGTTGACCGGAGTGTGCTTATCAAGGAAGTCGAACATGGTGAGTGTATGAATCTCTTAAAGTGGTAGTGACAGGGGCGGAGGGAGTTGACCGGAGTGTGCTTATCAAGGAAGTCGAACATGGTGAGTGTATGAATCTCTTAAAGTGGTAGTGACAGGGGCGGAGAGAGTTGACCGGAGTGTGCTTATCAAGGAAGTCGAACATGGTGAGTGTATGAATCTCTTAAAGTGGTAGTGACAGGGGCGGAGGGAGTTGACCGGAGTGTGCTTATCAAGGAAGTCGAACATGGTGAGTGTATGAATCTCTTAAAGTGGTAGTGACAGGGGTGGTGGGGGTTGACCACTGTGTACTTATGAAGGAAGTTGAATGTGATGTCCACTTTAAGAATCTCGTAAAGTGGCAATGAGGGGGTGGTGGGGGTTGACCACAGTTTATTACTGTAGGAGGAAACCTGAGTACCCGGGGAAAACCCATATGGTCGGGCAGGTGACCACATACCTTTCCATGTCTGGGAATTGAACCCCGGACAGGAAGGTGAAAGGGAATGTGTTACCTCTGTACCATCCATCCTACCCTTGCGATACTTCATTGTGGATATTTTAAACACTAGTATGTATTTCTAGGTCTGTTCTCTTTCATTAACACTCTGTACATTTTATTTTAAGGTCTCAAGGAGCTGCGTAAGACACTACACAACGCTCAGACACAGGTACAAGTGAGTCGAGAAAACCTGGTGCAGAACCTTTTTGACATCTACACAGATCCAATGATCGTTGACTCCTACCTACATGTCAAGATGGTGGATGAACAAGGATCTGATTGGGGAGGTGTGAGTCGTGACTGTTTCACATCATTCTGGAATGAAGTATCCGAGGACTTTTTCCGCGGTAGCTCTGTGATCATTCCCTATCTCCCACCACATAGACTCGAGGAAGAATATAAATTCCGTTTGCTGGGTCGTATACTTGCTCACAGCACGGCCATTCTCGGATACATTCCAGTACCTCTGTGTAAGTCTGTTGTCATGGTAACCATACTAGACACAACCACTATTGATGAGAGCACACTTATGGAGGATTTTTTGTTATTTATAGATCAGACCGATGCCAGAATTGTTAGGAAAGCTCTGACAGATTTTGAATCACTATCGGATGAAGATCGGGATAATCTGCAAGATTTGTTCACTAGGTTTGACATGGGGTGTTTGATTCAGGCGTCCACATTCAGAGAACATTTTCTAAAAATGGCCAGAAGTGAGCTTTGTATAAAACCGCGATCACTGTGCCTACTGATTCGAGAGGGAATTCCAGAAATTCACTATGAAAGGTTCTGGAGTCAGTTGACTCTCGATCATCTGCAAATTCTCAATGACAGACTCAAACCAACTGCTGAAAAAATCATTGCATGCCTTCGCCCAGATGAATCTGAATTGAATTCTCGAACAGAGAAAGTGTATGGATATTTTGTAGATCTGATCTCAAACCTCACTCAAGATGAACTTGAGATATTGCTTCAATTTATCACAGGTCAGGTGTGTGTGCCTCGTCGCAGTATTACTGTCAACTTCTCCGATCTCTCCGGCATAGAGAGACGTCCAATTGCTCACACCTGTAGCTTCTCCATAGAACTTCCAAGCACGTATGAATCTTACGAGGAATTTGAAACAGAGTTTAGAATGTTCCTTCAGTCAGACATCATCAGATTTGATATCCAGTGACACAGATTTTAAATCTAATAAATGTTATCAATTTTTTTCTGATGGTAAAGATTTTACCAAAATAGATGTATGATACAGGAGGAAATGTTTTACTCCTTTGCCAACAGAGCAAAACTTAAAGGTTGACTAAACTGTAATGTTAATTGTTAGCTCTGATGTTGGTACAGGTGTGAAAATGAAGAGTTACACATCAAGGCAGAATGAAAAAAAAATATTCCATGGAAGTCACAAGACAGACTCAGGAATTTTCTGTTAATTTCATTTTTTAGTTCCTGTTTTTTTCTAAATTTTATTTCGTCCTTGTAAATACCAGGTAGCACAAAATATAAGCTCTTGAAAATAGCAACCTTTACAAAATCATTTTATTACGGTACAGTGACAATGGGGTCAAATTTAATTAATTAAATAACCTTTATATTCACTCACAATACCTAAATAGTCCTTGATTGCTTATCTCTGTCCATGTCAAAGAGACTTCCACAAGCTTTTTTACCATGAAGGTATCATTTGACACATTACACTATCACCATGGTTACCTATCTCATATTTACTTCTTGGTTTTATTGATGTATCTCCATATATCTGATATATATAAATATATATATATATATAATATAAACAGTTACTCACTTAACAAAATTGTGAGACAGATTTTTTATCTTAAATGTTTGTTAGTTTACAGGCATGGTTTTTGATTCCTCCAAGCAGAGTTTCGTTCTTATCCAGTTATAAGCCTATTGCCATTAATACATCTATTGTTGATATGTTGAGTTACCAAGAAATGCTCTACCAATGCCTAGTGGTAAGGTTGTCCAGCAGACTTTTGGTCAGAGATGATGTGTTGAGGCCCTGGTTGGTTTACCACATCATAAATTCTGTCAATACCAGCTCATGAATCCAAGCCATCCGGCCGAGAACACTTAAAATGGATGAGAACATGTATCTGAATGATACACTCTGTCCTTCATCACTGTACCCGAGTAAGCACCAAAGTATGTCAGCCATTTCACCATTTTGTAAATATACCAAGTATCTACTGAAGTTTTAAGTCTAAGCTAGGAAATGTATGACATAATGTATAATGCTTTTCGGGTGAAATAAAGGCTTGGAAGGGTGAAAAATAACCATGGTGAATGTGTCTGAGTATACCACACTTGTTTTTGTATATATTTATCTTATGGTTGCCATGGTATTCAGTATACACATTTTAATATGAATATTGACCATAATATTGATGCTATAACATGATTATGAAATGACATCACAGACTTTAGGTCATAAACGAGAATGTAGGTTGGAGATAAGGTGAAGTGGTGGGTGTGGTAGGACACAGTACGGAGAGATGGAGCTGTGTGGTGTGAGGTGGTGCAGGACGGTGAGATGGATCAGTGTGGTGTGAGGTGGTGCAGGACGGTGAGATGGAGCAGTGTGGTGTGAGATTGCAAGTATACCAGCCTAGCCTCTTTATGCAATATTTTCAATCATGCGATATTAGATGTGATTGTTTCATAAGTGATTTATGAAACTTGTCATAATTTTTTCAGAAGAAACTTATCTGAAACGCCAAAAAAATTTTTTTTTTTAAATTCATCATAAAGCTTACTATATTCCACCTCTTAAACACATTGTGTATTTACAAAATACATGTATCATATTGAGGACCTCCTCCAGTTTTGTAAGTCCACAATGTATTTAATAAAATTATTTATCAACAGAAATGATGTAAATTCAAAGTAAAAATGGTAGATTTATGACTTCATGGATAACAATTGAAATGGTAGATTTGTGACATAGGGAACATTTTTACAGGCCTAAACTAATTCCCATTCTAGGTAATAGTGAGAATGTGGATGTAGTGGTTGGTCTCCCTAGGTCAAGTACAGTATATAGATTCTATGTATTCCAGTATATATCAACAATTCAATGCCTTTCCTTGATGATGTCAAAATATTTGACAGAAGATATGGTTAATTGTTACATAAATGATGGTCACATTCAAAATGAAAAAAAAAAAAGATTCACTATTGGGTCACAGTTGGAGCAAAATTACTCAGGTCACAGTCAGAGCAAAATTACTCAAGGTCACAGTCAGAGACAAATTACTCAAGGTCACAGTTGGAGCAAAATTACTCAAGGTCACAGTCGGAGCAAAATTACTCAAGGTCACAGTCAAAGCAAAATTACTCAAGGTCACAATCTGAGCCAAATTACTCAAGGTCACAGTCAAAGCGAAATTACTCAAGGTCACACTCAAAGCGAAATTATTCAAGGTCACACTCAGAGCCAAATTACTCAAGGTTACAGTCAAAGCAGAATTACTCAAGGTCACACTCAGAGTGAAATAACTAAAGGTCACAGTCAGATTAAATAGCTCAAGGTCACATTTTAAGAAATTATCTCTTTACTGATTTTTTTACGAGAATTATAACTATAGCTGTCAGTCCCCGGGGAAAACTTGCAGTCAGTCAGACGACCACGTACCTTTTCAAAATGAACTGTAATCCACAAAAACACTTTTTACGTCAACAGTAAACAGTGTTAGTTTGAAATCTGCTGAATTTCTTAACTTCTGTTTATAACAAAGAAAACAGGAATATACATATTTCTTGCTCAAAGATGGAAATGAGAATTTTTTTTTTTTTTTCTTTAAAGAAGAGGACCAATTTGTCTCCTGTGTTTGATCTTTATGTAATATTCACTTTTATGTTGATGTTTCATATTTGAATATTGTCTTACGTCACGTCTGTTACTTTAAAAATATAATTATTTATTTTTACAACATTAGTAAAACAAGTGTTATATCGACTTATATCAACCACTCCTGTCTGGCAGGATGGAAGTATGAGAGGGGTCTTTCTGTGAGAGGAAACAGCCATGATATAGGAAAAACCTTCGTGGTCCAGCATGTGACGCAGTAACTGTCATGCTCCATTTGAGAATGGAAAGCAAGTTGTCAAAAAAAAAAAAACAAGTGTGTTAACAAATCACCATTAAATTGCCCCATTAATTTTTCAATTGAGACACAATCATATTGAAAGTGTTTTCTTGTGTGTTTTTATGAAATTAGAAAGTTGGTTTACTTTATGAAACCATACACAATTTATTTATGGATATTGTGACGTAGCCATGAAGACACAGATACGTAAATAGACGTAGATGTGAAAAGACTTCAAGTTTGAGGTGGAAATGTATGCTTTCTGTATTATTTTCCTGAATACTGTTAAGATACTTTAATTGTCACAATCAGTTTTTAGTGCATAATCAGCATCATTGCTTTTGGACAAATAAGCCGAATGATAAATTGTTATGGTAACAAGTTGCTTTAATATTTTGCTTGGTTCGCTGTCAGATATAATGCAATATCTCTAACTGTTTTTTTGTTAAAACTCTGCAATACTTTGTTTTGGTACCAAAACATGCTGCAATATTTTTGATCGGCTCTAAGTTTAAAAACACTTCATTTCTTTGACTGTTTCGGTACCAAACATGCTACAATATCAAACATGATTGATTGATTCAACAAATGACACAGTCTTAGCATGAATTCCTGACCTTTTGGTCCGTATATATCATTATAGTGGCATCAGTGTAGTACATATATATATATATAGTGGGTCGGGAGTTCTTGTCAAGTCCCTATACAGTACATAAGCACTGAAGACGATAGGCTTTTAAGTCCCTGTACAGTACATTAACACTGAAGACGACAGGATTTTAAGTCCCTGTACAGTACATAAGCACTGAAGACGATAGGATTTTAAGTCCCTGTGCAGTACATTAGCACTGAATACGATAGGATTTTAAGTCCCTGTGCAGTACATAAGCACTGAAGACGATAGGATTTTAAGTCCCTGTGCAGTACATAAGCACTGAAGACGATAGGATTTTAAGTCCCTGTGCAGTACAGTAGCACTGAAGACGATAGGATTTTAAGTCCCTGTGCAGTACAGTAGCACTGAAGACGATAGGATTTTAAGTCTCTGTACAGTACATAAACCCTGAAGACGCTAGGATTATTTTCTAAAAATATTACAAATTTTAATGTTATCAGTTTTATTTCCATTCAGTTGTAGATTGTCTATGTATACATTCACATGTAGGATCAAATATTTAACAATATTTATTTAATTGTGTCTGCAGAACATTATTGAAAACCCCCATCAGGTGTGTTTGAGGCTCAGATTTTATCAGTAAATTGTAACAGTTGTGTAAAATATGTTGTTTTTTTTTATGAATATATGAATACATTGTTAATGAAAGAATATGATCATGAAAAATATCATGAATTTGTTTACATTAAATAGTATATGTTAACTTCAGATTTAAATGTATTATGAAATATATGTTATGTCAATTTATATCTTTATGTATAATGAAAAACAATTAAAATTCATTTTTAATTGATCAATTTAAATGTTATATAGTGAATGGAAATATGTTTTTTTAAACAGTATCAAATAGGATCACTTTTGAATTGTATGTCATTTATATCATACTATATGTCATAGTTTAAATATAATCGTTTGATATATTTTGTGTCTTTGAAGTTTGCAGAAACACCCTGTTTTTGCCTGGCAGTGGATGTAGAAATGGAACTGTTTAAAAACTGATAAAATGGAAATAACTAGCAAATCAAATATATATTGTTTAACCAATCAGATTGGTATTTCTGTACCTCCAACCACCATCCTTCATACATCCTCCTTCTTCCAATTTCTTTCCAGCCACTTCCTCCTTCCTCCTCCCTAAACTCTCCCTGTATGCACCTTCTTCCAACTTCACTCCTTCTCCAAACAAAATACTTCTACCACTCCCTTTCTGTCCATTCCACCCTCCTACTTCCCTCTTCCTTCCCACACCACCCTCTTTCTACTTCCCTCCCCGTTCAAACACCCTCTCACTTCTATCATCTTCAACCCTAAAAAGTTCCACCTTAAAACCTTCCCAAGGCCTTCGCCAACAACTCCCCTCAATCTCCTACAATAAAAGACTACAATGCA